TGTAATATATTAAAGAAAATTTATAAAAAGTCTATATTGTGACACATTTTTTATAAAAAGGGCAGCATCGAAGCAATTGAAGAAATGCAAGTTGATACACACGTGAGAAATGAGAAAAAGAAAGTTTATAACGGAAGGTGTAGGACTACTAAACAAAATATAATGGAGTATGTGATTTCAACATTTGTTTTACACTCGTGATGACTGGTTGGGAAAAAGAATGCACACAACAATAGAATATTTAAATTTGCAACCCAACAGTTCTAATACAAATTCCTGATGCCTCCGCTAGGTTGGTGCATTTAATAATCCATCACTATTATATTTTCATTTAAACTAATCCACTAATATTATCATTATTCAGAAAAAATATTATCTTGTTTATTAGGAAAATCCACTGCAACGTGGTTTTTTGAATGCATTTCCCGACACGAGATATCACCTCATTGACTTCGAGCGCAACAGCCAAGTGATTAGGGAGGAATGAGCCCTTCAACTAAAGACACTCGTTATTATGGAATGTCATGGAGCGAGCATTTGGTGTATGAAAGAAGAAGTGGGTCATACTATGAGATTTGTCTGCGTATTCTTTAAAAAAACAAGTGAAGATAGTTGTTGCAACGACCGTGCTCCATAATTTTATGCGGAGGCATCCATCCTGAAATGATATCGATAGGGTCTTAGAAGATGATCCTACCTACATGCCTGAGGAAGCTAATCAACATCAAATCGGACTTTCGGAGCAAAAAGAGGACTTTAGAACGAACAAATATAACACTAGTAAGGGAGAAGGCATTGAGATGTTACAATTAAGAGAGAAAATTAATGATGCTTTGATGAATGCAACGACTGTACTTATGTAGCATCACATAGTTATTTGTAGTTGATGATTCATCTTTCATCTCTATGTTTTTCTCTGGATGTTTTTTTTTTCAAAATATATCTAGCAATCTCTGTTGCACATTTCTTTTTGTGTGCCAATAAACTTTAATTTTTAATTTTAAGACAGCTAATATTTTTTAGAATTTCTCAAATGTTGTATCATCTTAAATTTTTTTTAATTAAAGCAATGTTGTATTATGTTGTATCAACTTAGAGACAATGCGAAATGAATATATCTGTGATAGGGTTGGTGTTGCTCCAGTGAAGGATAAAATTAGAGAGAGTCGTCTTAGATGGTTTGGTCACATCAAAAGTCGACCATCTGATTATCCAATTAGAAGAGTACATGTTTTAGATTTGACTTATGTTAAGAAAGGCAGAGGTAGACCTAGGAAGACTTGGGCTTATTGTATAAGAAATGAACTTAATTAATTAAAACTAAATGAAACTATGACACTAGATAGGACACAATGGAGAAAAAGGATTCATGTAGCCGAACCTTCGTAGTGAGATTAAGGCTTTGTTGTTGTTATTGTTGTTATAGTAATATTGTATTATAATAAAATGAAATATGAGTTCAAGATCATCAAACACTTCGAAAGTTCCGCTGTGTTATTGTGGCGATAAGTGTGTTCAGTACCAGGCCAGAAGGCAAGACAACTAGAAGAGAAGATTTTATTCTTATCCCAGAAAAAAGACTCCTGCAGATTGCAACTTCTTCCGTTGGGTTGATGATACTGATGAGGTCCCTCTAGACCGTGATAAGTTTATGAGAGGAATGGAGAGAAGATTGTTCCAAAGACTAGATCATCAGGAATTCAAGACAAACATCATTTTAAGCTTGTTGATTACTATGGTTGTTCTCATTATTGTAGTCATTTGTGTATTAGAGTATTTTGAATTGGACTATTAGTTTTTTTAGTAACAACTCTTTCTATTATTTAGTTCTGAATATTCCGAAAACTACACTTATTTGAATATAGTACATATAAAATGGCAAAACAATCTTTCTCGTCGAAAACAACAACACAACAGATCTCTCAAACAGACACCTGTTTCTTCATCAGCAACTTTCTGATAACTCTTGAAAAGTTGCTTCTCCAGGAAGCAATTTTATAGCGGCTTATTGGAAAAGCAGCACCCGCCTCAAACACAATATAAGCTTTTAAATCAAAAATCCATGTTGTTGGGGCTTGAAACCAAGTTGTATGACTCAAATATCGGGGTTGAATGTGATCAAAATTGAACCTTTGGATCTTAGTTGGCACCTCAAATTTTAAGCTTGGTTTAAATGGATCTGACGGAAGAGCATTCACATGTCTTGATTCAGTCTGATGATTAAGATCAAGAGGTTTTGTTGCTTCATTTTACCAAGGTAATAGGAAATTATTGAAGAACATATCTTGATGTCACAGTTAGACAACTCAAATCAATTGAAGCCTTGTAATTTTAAGGAAACATCAATTATCATCAATATATATAAATTGGTATCAACTAAAAACCTAAGGGCCTTAAAAAGATTAGATACTTCTTGTAACAAGCATGTCACCCAAAGAACTACTTACACTAATGAAATCAAGCAATGCAGAGAATAGAAGTCATATTCTTGTGATCCTCGACAGAGCTAATTGTTATGAATAAGATATCTAATGACAGACTCAAAATGAAAAATTATTGTTAAATAAATTCTTTAGAAATACCTTTGGAGGCATCCATAAATAAATATATATATATATATATCTTGTAAGCAATAACCATAATTAGAAACATTCTAAATTTCATAATATAAAGAATTTCATTACATAAACTAGCACAACAAACAAAATTTACTTGATTGAATTAAGTTGTCAACAAGAGTTTATGTAGAAGATCACACACTCTTATAACCCAAGTTCAAGTGCATCAGAACATATACGTTATAGACAGAACACTAGTAAATGGTGGAGTCCAACTTTAACAATACAATATCAGCACAAAATTCAAAACAGATGGATTTATTGATTAAAAAATAATTATCGCTGTTATTTTATTGAACAACTACTAATTATCGCTGTTATTTTATTGAGCAACTACATGCCAAGAATTTATTGCTAACTTAATGAATTAATTAAATTTATAATTGAACCTAAATAACTTTAAATTTTCACCTCCTTAAGTCATAAATATAAAACCAAATATAGTGTTTTCATTGAATTTTCAGGAGTTAATTTGCCTATGTGCTTGAAGGATGATATAGAAGTTGTGAAGAGTAAGAACATATAAGAAATAAACAGCTTCACCTGCTATTGTAGACCATATAAGTGAAACAATTAGAGAAGAGAAAGTGAGAAAAACATCCTTGGTGCAGTTTCTAGGTTTTTATTTCCTTCCGTTTTGAGAATCAAAATCAAATAAAGAGGAATGAGAGAGTGAAACTATCAAAAGGCCTTGGCTCAAGCAGCATGCTTAGTTTCTAACCTAGAGAACTCTGGTGCCAATCTCAATGGATGCATCTACTAATCATATTTCCAGATCCACAAACATTGAAAATATATAGCATTCTACTCATCACAGATCTATAACTAGCATGCCCATCTTATATAAGTACTGAATTTGAAATAATTAAGAAAATGTAAGCTAAAGAGAGAGCGAGATCACTCAGCCCTCTCCCTCTTAATTATGGTTTTCTTGATGTGCAGCAACCAAAATGGTGCAAGCATATTAGCCCAAGCATATTGGCCTTGCAAAAATACAATAATGCTTGAGGCAATTTCACTAGCTATAGAAAATATTAAGTTGCTGTAAGCATAGTTTATCACTCTAGGTCATTAAAATAATATTTTCTTCACCAAGTTTCTCAGTTTTTTTGTTCTTCACTAAATTCCAACAACATAAACGATTGTGTCAGAATATTTAATGTGCTCTTCTAAATTATACTAAACATATTTCTCTATTAAGGGGAGAAGCAGGCATGCTAATCTCACCAAATCGAGTATTTTTTGAGTCTTCTATTTTAGATTTTCTATAAATTTCTACTGTTCATTGCAATTACTTTCAAGCAATTAATTTTTTCCTAAAAAATTCATCAATGAAATATATAATGAATTTCATATACATACCCGCAATAAATAAAGACAACTAGTTTCTTCCTAGCATAGAATTCTTTTATGAGAAGATCTCTTTCTACAGAGTCCTTTCTTATAAAGCACAGGGAACAAAATAGGACAAAAAACAAAAAAAAAAAAAAAAAAACATGAGATTACAAAAAATTTAAAATTGTTGAACATGGCATGCCAATTGTCATTATCAACATCAATTTCTAAATATTATAGATAACTAAAAGTACTATCAAACATGCCAAAGAACATATTAATATATGTAATCATAATTTTTTTTTGTACAAATCTTCAAAAAAAAAAAAGAAATCAAGAAGGCCGTGTATAGGAATGAGAGCAGGAATCTCGAATATCCGGTATGTTAAACGTGGTCAATGTTATATCTAATATGTTTTCAACCCAAGTTCGTACAGTGTGCAAAAACAAAGTTATACAATAAGGAAGTGATTGATCATATGTAGATAGAATTAAACTGCTTGTAAGGTCAAGTGGCATGCTTAATCTGATGCTATATACTCCAAATTTTCCAACTATTACAATTGAGTTAAGGGCCCCTCATAGGTGCTTTTCTAATTCATGCCCTTTCTCATATATTTCTATCATCTCAACCAAAGCACACAGAATTTTTAAAAAATATTCAAAATTTATAACATAAGATAAACCAAATATAATTTTTATGATATAATGAGCATGAAAAAGCCACAAAAAAAAAGGTAGGGATCAAGTGTTACTTCTAGATATAAGAAATTAAAAAAAAATCTCCAGAATTTGATCCCCAGAAAGAGTTAACTAACGATATTAAAGTTTTTACTCCAAAAGAAGATCGAATACAAATAGGCAAGCAGCATAATAAAATCAAAAATATTTTAATTCAAAAAAAGGGAGATTTAAATTTTAAGAATGATTAATCAAAAAAAGAAAGATGAACAATAAGGACAGCAATGATAGAATGAGAAATCATTCGTAACATCAACAACTTCTAAAAATAACTAACCTAAAGAAAAAGAAAAATATAGGAATTACCATAAAAATGAGCCACCAGTTGTACTGCTAGATGCTCCTGTCTACAATCATCACCACTCTTGACAATAACCTGCTTGACAAAATATAATTAATAAAAAACCTAAGCCAGAAAAGTTATGTAAAAGATACTACTAGGACCATGAGAATCAATTAAGACTTGCATTTCTTCATCAAGCACGAACAAATGTATGCTAGATCAATTATTCTGACATGCATGGATATCCACAATCAAAGATATTTTCAATAAATCATCTCGTAGCAACTAGAACAACACGAAACCCAACAAAACCCACCATGGTACCAAACAACATAGAAAATTTAGTTAGAGCAAATATTAAAAAAAAATACTGAATGAGATTAGTATACTGATATATCATGAACAAATAATTAAGTATGCTTGGATGATAACTAGTAGAGAAAACCAAGTCAAAAAACATTAATCATGATAATTTAATATATGAGCTAAGAAGTACTATGAGACAAGGAATTAAAAAACCCTCTCAAGCATGGAAATTAAAAATCATGACTAAAAGTGCACAAATATAACAGCAAAATGATTCAAGCAGGGCAAATAATGATTTCTTTTTCCTACATAACTTCATCTTGTAATTATACCGTGGAAACTAAAAAACATAAACACTAATAATGCAAAAAATGAAGCCATCAGGCGGCCAACAAACACTTCAGTCCATCATTCCACTGGATAGGTAGGAGTCATCTAGTAGAAAGCGTTATACTAAGCAGACCATGCATAAGAATTAAGAAGGAGAAAAGCAAAGAATGTCAAAGCTAATTTAGTTCTTCAATCAAATTTAATTACATGAAAAAATAACTATTAAGATGACACATGGAAATTATTCAATATAGCTCAGTTGGAAGAGCAGATGACCAAAAGGCCCTTATTTCATATGTTTAGATTGAGTTCCTGATTGATATATATCATAGATGTAGCAGCTCATATAAATTACATGCCATTAAGATGGATCAATCAGTCATGATGAACCGAAAAAAGAAGATTAAAAATGTGCACTGGACCAATCAGGTACTTTAATAAAATATCTAAAAAAAACAAGCACCTTCATTTCCTTTCACATTAAGCTAGTTCAGTCTAGATGGAGGAAAGCAAATTGGAATGAAGGTCAATCACTTCAAATGCCAACTATGCTCTTTGAGATGTATACCTTACAACAATAAACATTAACAATTCTAAAATCATGACCTTATTTTTTGTTTATGTTAACGAATTAGAATTTCCTCGGTGCACTCCCAGGTATTTTCCTCTCAAAAAGTAACGATTGGAAGCCATACCCACTTTATGAAAGTATGCACTTCCCAAAATAAAAACTACCGTACAATTGTGCTACCCCCAACCCATTTGACAGCAAACATAGCATCTTTTACTTGTGAAAAGTTTAAAATTCTCATTATCTGATGCATCAAATTAAATATCAACTCACTATATTAAATTTGAGATATTCAGTCCAAAATAAGTTGTGTAAATTATAATCATATTATATAGATAAATGTTAAGTGCTCAGATTGTCCAGTAGAGGGTTAGCTTGAAAGATCAGATAACTAATTTCTAATTTTCCACCAAAATTTTACAATTTAAAAAAATGAGTTTACTGAAGTACCTTATTTGAATCAGAAATCAGATGATTGAAGAGATATTTCAGTCATATACAATATGAAGAGATGCTAACAAATATGACATGATAATTAAAGTACATCGCATGTGAGAGTTAACTTTTCACCCATTTTTACACAAAAATACAATAAAAACTTCAATTTTCTACTCCCCTCAGTTCTCATTCTAATTTTCAAGAAATATTTGTATAGGTCGAGCATGACAGAAATAAGAATATTAAAAATGTTGTATGCAAAATTAGGAATCGTTGGTTGAAAATTGATTATATTAAAGGAAAAATAAAATTTACTTCTATTGAAAATAAAGAAAATTATAAATATATTTAGCTGGTTTGGATATATTCAATGAAGGGTGACAAATGAACTCATTATACAAATAGAAGAAATAGTCTCATAGGATTAGGAAGAAATAGAGAGACCTAAGATAACATGACAAAACTTGTTCAAATGATTTGTGAAGAATAGACTACCAACTCAGGCAAATAGATAAAAATAGTCTTATAGGATTAGGAAGAAATAGAGAGACCTAAGATAACATGACAAAAGTTGTTCAAATGATTTGTGAAGAATAGATTAACAACTCAGGCAAAAATAAGTAGGAATGAATAAAAAATTGAAGATTCATAAAACTGAGCTAAACTTGTTGGGATACTGCTTAATAAGGATGGTGATACAAATATAAGGAGTCACTATATGGGTGGTGGCCAAGCACCAATTTAAGTGTAACTTTATTTGTGTACTTTATTCTTATAAAAATAAGGTGACTACCTGATAGGATTGAAACTCAAAAGAGTTTGCATAATTTCCTGGGTATCACCATACTAACAGATATCAGCTGGAATACATACAACAACATAAAAAAGACTCATAATCTGAATGAACTTAGCTGTTTGCATGTCCTAAATAAAAAATGTCCCGGATAAAAAGCCATTATATGCTGATATCTTTTTGGAAGTATAACTAATGTTTAAAAAAAAAGCCTATTTGAGAGCATGGAAGCAGCCCATGGCCCAGCAGTAGTCCTGCTTCTGTTCTCACCCTCATGCAGATCTAGGAAAGCCATATTTCTATAGGGAAGCCAGGACTGCCTGCTGAAACAAATCTCTGGGCTGCTTCCCCAAACAGAACCTATAATTATGCATTCTCTATATCTGTTTGTTATTCATTGTGAAAAAGTTCATGCAGTCACATACAAAATTGGTTGTAGAGATGCAAAGTGGGCCTCCAGAACTAAATAAAATCTATATCAAATTCTGCTTAAGCACCAATTATATGAATTCTGCACCCACTATAAAGAGGAATTTTAAGGAAAAAAACTTACAGAGCACAAGTCCCAACCAGAAACTTTCCCATACGGAGACAACTTGCGTATCCTTTCTTTCTTAACCTCCCATAATTCACCAGATAATGCATCACTTGGTTTAGGAACTCCACCATTTACTACCTGTCAAGAAATAATTAATTATAGTGAGTGATGCTGCATTCATTCAGTTATACAAAAATTATGTAGCAAAATTTTCACCATTGGCTGCTGATCAGGCGAATTTTGACCAGCACCCTTTAGAGAGAGTCCAGGAGGTGTCTGACCACTGGCAGCTTTTGCCTACATGAGAAAAAAGGCAACCTTTTTACAAAATAAGTGGCATAGAAAAATGTTAAGAGGATATTTAAGCATCATAAAAATAAGCATTTGGAAGCATTATAAAATTATTGCAATAATAATAAAAATATGCCACCAAAATTGCCTTTCATTTCTAGATATATAACTCCATCTCACTTACAGGCCCACCTTTACTTCCTCAAATGCAATAGTGCTGGGAACACGACGATGTTCCTTCCGACAAGGTGCTTCTTGTTCAACTACATCTTCCATGTTAACCCCAGGAATGGCCGACAACTTAACCATCACACTTTCCAAAATTTCATCAGAATTTCCCATAAAATCGTTATTCAAATCACTGATAGAAATCGGATCATTTTCTTCACTATCCCTTGATGTGCCGGCCTTCTGATCATCGACCAATAAGCTAACATGAACTATTTTTACTTTAGCTTCCCATAACTGAGCCATAACCTGGTCAATAGCTTGTGATGTATTTTTCAACATTCTATCTGTATCAAAATGATGAACTGGATGTTTGCTCCAAAGAGGAAATGCCCATGGAGGAGGCTTTGGTGACTGCACATCTACATTTGCTAGAGGAATTATTCCTCTAGAGAGTTTTTGAACATCAGATGTCATCTTTGTTTGGCTGATTAGGAAAAAATAAACAAACATCAATACGGTTAGGAGTTCATATAAAACATGCTTTTGATTAAATACACTAGAAAAATGATGAGGGCAAATCCCAAAGAAATAAACCACACCGAAATAAATGATGAAGAACAAATAGATATGAGAATAAATTTCATACCTAGGTGATTCACATTTCAAAACTTCAACACATATTAAATAAGGTGCCTTCTCCCTGGAATTAAGAAGTACAGCTTCATCCTCTGGTATATGGACAACACGATACATCCCCTTTCCCATAGGGAAGCACAGGCCTACAGTTCAAATATGTAAAAAAAATATAAATTGATAAATTTTATTTATTTAAATCAAATATCATTACAAAAGTCATTCCATTTTGTATACCAGTAGTCAAGTGAAGAAAAGATAAAAATGCAGGTCAAAATTGCACCGATTGGTGATAAAAAAGGTCTGAACAAATGTGGAACAAAATTTAGATCAAACATGACCGCCAAATGAATTATTTAAGAATGCTTAACTAGCAAAGAATTCAAGAGAGATTAGGCTTTATGATGATTTCACGAATGCAAAATGAATGGAGAAATATTACTTTGAAATTCTATAAAGTAAAAAAGTAATGGAACATAGAACTACAACATAGAGTAATGGAACATAGAACTACAACATAGAGTCGGCCCAACAAACCTATCTAAAAAGCTTTATACTTATTAAATTTAGGCTCTCTTAATCTTTCTTAATGCTTCACACATGAACTACTGTGACAAGTAAATAGATTCGCTATCTAGTCAGTCTCCATAAAGATTACAAAAAAAAAGGAGAACAATATTACCGATTGTGTCCTTATTAAAGCGGCATAACTTAGAAAATGAAGTATTAAATTACAATTTCATACTTGACATGAAGAAATCAGATTGCACTGCTGTCACCCAATATTTAAGATTGCATGCAGTCAGAAAAAACCCAGTAAACATTAATGTCAACATTAAGATTATAAGGAATTTACAGACTATGATTGAATTCTTATTTATGTGTCTAATAAATAAATCTTTAAGTTACTTAAATAACATTATAATATCAAAATCACATCAAACATACTATTATCAGTAACTCATCTAAAGTGAAATACATCTTAAATACATGTTTTCATGAATATGTTTTGATGTGAGTAAATGAAAAAATTAGGAGTTAGAAATGTATATACATAAGAATCATGTGGTATTTATGTAAATCTCACTAATATAATTTATATGTATGATAATGACTAATAACTACAATAAATGAAGCTATTTACTAGTTAATTGCAATATATGAGCACAAATTTATTGAAAATAAACATAACCTAATACAAATTAGATATTGATGTGGATGATAAAAATGAGAGACACTCACATCTCAAAATGTGTTGAGTATCATTATCCCTAAACCCTAAAATTCACATAACGTGTATGAACTCGCCCTCAAAAAGAAGAAAAAATAAGTTCAATGTTAGATTATCCAAAGCCATATATAAGACTGGTTATAGACAAATTAATAAAACTTATTATTAATTCAAAATTATAATACTATATTTTAACTGCAATAATAAATACTGAAAATAAAGCAAATCAAATAATTAAAAATAGTATCATGTGATATAACTTGCAAAAACCATATATGCATTTCTAGGAAACCACGTAAAATTTGCATTAGCTGTTCTCAATTGAATGGACTTAAAATGATCAATTCAATACCCAGATATGACTCAGCAAACCAATTCAACGCCCTAACAAAATAGAGCAGGCTGATTTGACGCCTATAAAACCTTGATATAACTTGGGGCCTAGTAGAAAATCAGCCCTAATGCAGATTGACAACATCTTTCTTCTTAAATTTACATATAATTTTATGAGCTTGGTATTATCTGTGAGCCACTAGCAGCAAACCGCATATAACGTGGGATAGTGGTGGTTGATGAACTTACTTTTTTTCTTTTTTCGAGAAGAAAAACTTTGTTGATATTTCCTGTTTTATATTTTTCTTTTTATCTCCGATTAATATCATAAATTGATTAATTGTAATATTAGGGACATATGTGTTATATTTTTCCTATTTTAGGGTTCATATAAGCTGTATCGATACCCCTTTCATATCAAAAAAGTATTTCGCTCTATTCTCAAAACCTAAATGGTATCAAAGACTTTAAACAAACCCCAGAGTCTCTGTAGAAGGAGAAGAAGATCTTCTGCCGCCGGAAACTTCCTATTCTTAGAAAGCCGACAAGCTTTCCCTAACTGCAGACCCCCCTCATCCGCCTCCTCTATTTAGCCCTTATGTTGGATTTCCTTGCATAATCTCTTCTGCCGCTAGGAAGATTCAGGCGGCAGAAGTAAACTTAATAACAAATCCCTTTAGCAAGAGAGAACTCCATGCAAAAATCTACTTGCATCAGATTCTCACTGCAAGATTTTTTTCTCTGCCCCTCCCACAATAAGAATTTCTCTTCAACAAATCTCTTCTCTGCAACCACCTGTCATCCTACACGAACTAGTAGCCGAAACTCTTTACCTGCAGGCCCTAGCTGTAAAAACTTCTCTGCCTACATGCCCTAGCTGTTGGAACTCTTTCCACTACAGTTCACTAGTCGCTGGAACTCTCTGCCTGTAGGCCATAGCGGTCGGAACTCCTCTCCCTGCAGACCTTAGCCCCCAAAACTCATTCTTGCAAGAACTAGAAGCAAAACTCCATCCTGCAACCAGAATTTCCTTCTGTAGGCCCTCCTCAGGCCGGAGTTCTCACTAGTCTTGCAGAGCAGTTTCTCTGCACTGCAGTCTTTCCTTGCAGTCAGCTATCACCAAGAATTCTTCCTTCCACAAGATATCTTCCTCCAATAGACCCTGTCTCCCATAAAAATTTCTTTCTGCCAGCATATTCCCATGAGAATTCCATCTCTACACTTTACAAGCAACAAACAATTTTTTGCCTCCAGTGACAACCTCGTTCCCATGTCCTCGCGAGCCTGAGCCCAAACCACCTTGATGGAGAGGACAAAGCAAACCGCTTGCAAGTCCACCGACAAAGCATAAGAAAGCAGGTGCCAACAAAGGTGGCAAGTAAGTTAGCTCCTATGACTGGTGGCGTGAAGAAACCCCATCGTTTTCGTCCCTGAACAACTATGCTGAGGGAGATTAGGAAGTCCTAGAAGAGCACGGAGCTTCTTTCTTTGGTCATAGCCATACTCCACCTCCGCTTCTCTCCTTCCTTAGTCGTGCCCCTTGCAACACCTCTCCAGTTTTTAGCCCATCATCATCCCTCGTAAGCTTCCACCACCCCTCCTGTATAAGTCCTAAGGGGAAGCTATTGTTGATAAATGCTTTCCTCCTTGTCGCCCTCTCGTTCAATCCCCTTCCCATTCAAACTGGCTAAGGATTATTTGATTAACCCTTGGTTAGGGTTTACAACTTGAACTGTCGTCGGGACCTTGGATTGCATCTCCAGAAGCCTCTTCATCATTTCCTCCATACTCCCAAATCAATCATCCATACGGTTCTCAATGGAAAAAAAACTTATCCTCCATGGTGACAAACATTTCCTCCATTAATTTGATTTGGCCTACTTCTCCTTCGAATACACCCACTTTATATGCCATCAATCCTCTAAGATCTTGCTCTGATACCAATTTGATACGAACCAGAACAATAAAGGCTGACTTTACTAATAACAAAGAAATCAAACAAGATACAACGTTGATCTACAATTCGAAAGATAAATCGTCTCTCCACAAACCCTAGATGCTGCTAGGAACACCGAGATAAAAGAAAAAATACAACCAACTAAAACATAAAACAAACCTTACACAATTAACCTTATAAATACTCTTCAAAATTCCCTTTCAAACTCTCCCCCTTGATTCCCCTCCTCTCAAACCCCCCCTTGATTCCCCTCCTCTCATACGTGATTAGCAGCTGTGTGGACCCCACCCCACCCAAGTGCTAAAATCGTGCCCGACCTCTCCTAAGTATCCCACGCCTCTAGGATGCAGCTAGCTGGCTGGGTAGAGCTAGTCCAGTCCAATCTAATTTGAACCGGCTTGCCTCTCCTGCTCCCGTCAATCCTCCATCACTTTGAATAGGAGGCGTAGGCGTATCAGTTTGCAGAACAATAGAATTATGCTTTTTGGTCACAGACAATATAGAACAATTAAAAAGACAACATCACTATAGATTTCTAAAACATGATGCTGCTATGGACATGTTTATCACCAGAACATAATAACCAAAAAAAAAAAGAAAACTTTGGAGATATTCAAGTTTCTAACCAAGGATAACTGTAGATTAATTTATACAATTATGGAAAAAGACATCATGAAATGGCGTTTGAAGCTCCTGTTTCTATGTGATATACATGACATTCATGTATACAATGGCAAGTTCTTAGCAGCACTTGGATAGAATATGTCAACGAGATTTAAGAGAGTACCTCCACTTTTTTGAAATTCAGAAATTTGAGAATTGATTTCCTGAAGGGACTGGTAACACAAATAAAGTCACAAGATTAATTAGCATACCAAAACAAAGGAGATAAATTAAAATTCAGCTAAAGCTCATTAGCATTTGAAACTTTACCTCTCGAAGAGCAACCTTTCGATCATCAATAGGGAATATGTCCACCAAGCCATACGAAGTATCACATAAACATTGAACAAACTCTAGGGATGCATGATATGTTCCTTTTCGAATTTGTGAAATCAAATGATCTGGCAATGGTGGCTTTGTGGATGACCTTTCCAGCCGCTGCCTTGGTGAGCCAGGGCGTGATTGCTACGCATAATTGAAAAATGACTATAAATAGATAAATTGTTAAACAACAACATAGTTTGATCAAAACCATGAACTTGGCTGTATAATTTAATTCACACTTCAAAGAATAATCAAGGAGAAAACATTATCATCCCGCTAACTCTAAAACGAGAATGTAACAACACTTAGTATTTCATATAGAAGGGACAATGATAGACTAAGCATCAGTTACTAATGGAGCAAATCAGCATAGATAATTGCTTGGTTTTATTTATTCTCACACTTATGGGAATTCATCATACAAGCTTTAAAATTCGTAGAACAGGAAGTTCATCATCAATGAATACAGCTGAAGGAAAACATACCTATAAGTACTTAAATAGCTTACATAATTCTGTGAAAGCTTATTTGGGGATCTGCTTTTACTGGTATTTCTTGTTCATGGCATTTCAAAAATGCACACACACTTATTCTGCAACGCATCAGACCTTTTAAGATACAAAATATAATTCAATAATTCATCTATTGCACTAACACAGGCCTGAATGACATGTTGGAGCCTATGAACTCTTGATGTCCTTTTAGAATGTTTGATATATTTGTCTGAACAAACTTGGGCCAATGATTAAAAGAGTATAATATGCAGCGAGTGCATAAACATTGTGGAAGATCAAATTAAAATGGATAACATAATGAGGAACAGAAGCAAGATATTTTCTAAAAAACTAAACGTGTGACACACTACATACTGCACTTTGAGAAGAATTATACTATGTAGCCCTAAAGCTGTAAGGAATACGCTTTGCTTCCTAAGAGCAGAGCGTTATGCAATTATTATTTTGGGTATCGTAACTGCATTAAAGGAAGCATATCAAATAGCTTCATGTAAGAATGAAAAAAAAATTCTGCCTAGATATAATGATAAAACTGAAAAAAAAGCTAAGGAGAGGGACACAACAAGAACCAATTGGAATAGTAGTCAATTGTTGAACATTATTCAAGAAAGTAGAGTGCCATCATAAAGAACAAACTGAAAATGCACTGTAATATGATAGATCATGGATACCTCTCTTGGTTTCTTTGAACCAAAAAGCTCAGAATCTTCAATAGAACGATCACGATCACGAAATAGCCTCCGGAAAAAGTTCTCATTTCCAATACTACTATCATATGGACCATCATGTTTTCTACTCATAGAAGCATTCTTATTATCTTCAGGATGCACCCTAAACAACCTGCGAAATGACAAAAACTCAGAACTCTCCTCTTCCACCAAATTTCCATTAGTCTGGTTCTCTTCTTGTTTTCTATCGTGATCCTCATCTTTCTTTTCTTCATGCTTGTCCTTAAAAAGCCTACGAAAGAACCCTTCCTTTCCAACGTCATCATCGATGGTACTCCTTGGCTTGTCTACCTCTTCAACCCGCTCATGGCCAGAAACTTTTTTTTCATCATGCTTGTCCTTGAAAATTCTGTGGAAAAAACCATCCTTTTCATCATCATCATTACTCTTGCATAACCTTTCTTCATCCTCATTCCTTTCAATATCAGAAACCCGTTTTTCTTCATTTTTTTCCTTGAATACTCTGTGGAAGAAACCATCCTTTTCATCATCATCGGCACTTCTGCTACATCTCTCTTCATCTACTCTCCTCTGATGTACAGCAGCCTTCCTTTCATCATGCTTTTCCTTGAAAATTCGGCGCAAGAAACCATCTTTCTCATCATCCTCAATACTCCTGCTAAGCCTTTCTTCATCACCAGTCCTCTCAGACACAAAATCTTTCTTCTCTTCATTCCTATCCTTGAAAATTCTGCGAAAGAAACCATCCTTTTCATCATCCACACTATTTCTGCTAAGCTTTTCCGTATCCTCATTCCTGGAATGCCCTGAAATTTTTTTTTCTTCATTCTTTTCCTTAAATATTCTACGAAAAAAGCCATCCTTTTCATCACCATCAGCGCTTTTGCTTGCTCTTTCTTCATCCATGTTCTTAACATGTGCAGTAATACTTCTTTCTTCATTCTTATCCTTAAATATTCTCCGAAAAAAACCATCCTTATCATCATCCTCAGCTGTCCTGCTGCTCCGCGCCTCCTCATTTTTTAATCCAATCTCCTTCTTCTCTTCATTCTTATCCTTCAAAAGCCTACGAAAAAATCCTTCCTTCTCTTCTTCATCAACAACACCAGTAGTCCTATCTTCTCCATCATGACTACCATTAAAACCATCCGCTTTTTCATCATTTTTCTCTTTAAATAACTTCCTGAACAAACTCTCCTTCTCTTCTTCCTCAATGTTCCCATTGCAAGTATCTTCTTTCCCATGCTTGCAGTGCTCACCATCTTTCCTTTCTTCATGTTTATCCTTGAAAATTCTACGGAGAAAACCATCCTCTTCCACGTCTTCCCCTATTTTACCATCCTTATCACGAAAAAATCTCTTAAGGAAACCCTCTGAACTAGGTGTAAGCTCCTCATCCTTCTCCCTGCTGAGCAGCCGACGAAGAAAACCATCTCTGTCGGGCTCGTCCTCCTTCTCCTTGCTGTCTCTGCGAAGCCTGCGGAAGAACCCATCTTTATCGCTTTCCTCCTCTTGCTTCTCCGCGGACTTCCTAAAAGAGAATGCCTCAAGGACCTTGGGCCCCGGCAAGAGCTTTTTTAACAGCTTGCCCTCTTCAGAAGATGTTGATGCCTTGCCATTACAGTCATTTCCAGCGCTCCCGTTGTTTCGATTCTCCTCAGTCGGAGAACTAGAACCCAGCGGAGGCGATACGGCGAACGAAGGCGATCGCTGCTTTGACGACAGTATCCGGTTGAGTTTAGGGGTGCTTTTGAGGTTCGACGAGGATCCAGCAGGCGGACGGATTAGCGGAGGCCAATCCCCCATCAGCGTGGCGGCAATCTGGCACTTCTCCTGGATCCTGCTGATGCCCTCGCTGTCCTCGGAGTCCTCAAGCTCCGCCATCAGAAACCAATGCACCTTGAGGGCGATCCGCAAGGATTTCGAACACGTATCGATGACGAATTTGTCGAGAGATGGACTAGGCTTGTGCACCAGCATGTAGCAGATCTGGAAGAGGTAGTTTTCAAGGCCGGCAAGCGGCAGCGTGTACATCCGGTTGCAGAGATAATCCCGGACGCCGGGGTGCTCATGCTTGTAGAGATAGCTGACTGCGATCCACTCACAGAAAAAGGCGGAGTCAAAAAACCGGATGAGCCACCCATTCTCCCCACTCCCTCCCTCACCAACCACCGGATTCGTGCGGGTGATCTCACGCGGGGCCTCATCCCCTCCGAAGCGGCTCAATCCTAGAAGGCGCACCATGATCAATCCGCCATCCGAGGACCAGTCACCCTGGGAGGCAGAGCTCGAATCCGCCACAAACCCCCCAGGCCCCGTACGAATTCCGACAAGATCCGGACTAGAATCCGCTAGACTTGCTCACCGCCGCGTTGAAGCCCTAGTTAGGGCTAGCGGCGCAACGAGCTGCAGCAATTTCCCAGAGGTATATGAATCGTCAATTTCGGTAGCAAAAAGTGCGTGGAGCTGATGGGTACTTGGATTAGGGTTTCCTCTCCTCTCTCCTCGGTGAGGCCTCTATTCCTCTCCTTGTTTTTCCTTTTCCGACATCGTCGTCGTCGGCGGATCCTTTTAGGCGCCTTGTAGTGAAAACTGCGCATCGCCGTCTACTTCCGATCCAACGGGTGCACCTAATTTGATCAGAGGATTTCGACCTTTCATTTTAAATCCGACGGATATTAGTGCAAGATTGTCACCAAAGTCTGCGGTCGTGTATTGCGTGGGTTCTTTTGTCAACAACGCAAAAATGGGCAAGCATTCCCTCCTTGTTTGGTTAGTGGCATTAACCCCTAAATTTTTTATATTTATTTAACCCCATATCTAAATTTTCATAATTATAAATATTATATAAAAAATAACACTTATTATAATCAAATTCATCTTTACATTAATAACAAAAATGTTACTTGTATTAAAATAAAATTTTAAGCATGAGTTATGTAAATTTATAAGAATTGAGCACTATATATGTAATTTTTTTTATTATTATTGAAAATTTGATGATCAACCCAATTTACAATTTCAAAGAACAAAAAATTATCACATGACCCCAATATACAACATACGGCAAAAGTACAATGAAAATGTAACATAAAATAAAATAATGAAGAGCAAAACTAGTCAGAAGAATTAAATTGATCATTAGTTATCAAAAAAGAATAAAATATTATTAAGAGCTTATTTGAAACGATAGTTGTTTGAAGAAATACTTATGAAGTTATTTTAAAAAAATTATTATTGAAAAAATATTCTGCAAGTTTGAAATATTCAATTATTAATATATTATATTGTAGTTCTATGTGTAACAAATTTATGATATTTTTTAATTATAAATCTTATATTTAATAGTTTTATTTTCTTTTATTAAGGATATTTTTGGGGCAGTTGTAGTTTGTTAAAAATATTTAGAAAATTATTGAAAAATAATTTAATGTTGCTAAAATTATGATGGCTTTTTTTTTTTTTTTTTTTTTTTTTTTTTTAAAAATACATATTTTGATTGGGACGCCATTCGGTCAGATGCCCTAAATCCTCGGACGAGGGAGCAGGTTAGAGCTTGTACCGGACAACTAATGGATAACGTTGCCGCACTAATACCATTCCGTCTTTTCACGTTGCCGGAGTAGACAGGGCAAGAAATAGAGGAAGGTTGAGGTGGTGTCAGTCTTGTCCGAAGCGTCGGCGATGTTCAGTCCAGTGCCGAAATGTCTGCTTCCTCAGCTCCCCGAGCCCTTGCCTCTCTTCTTCTCCAGTTCCACGTTCGGTGGCCGTCAGCCGAGGCTCAGGAAGTGCTTCTTCGTATGGAGCCCGCGTCGAGCCCGCGTCAGTAAGGTTCGCTACTCGGAATCCAATCCCAATGTTATATCTACAGACGAAGCATCGTCTCGTCTATTTATGCCGTTGAAAGAGAAGGAGGAGGGCGAGAACTTTGAATCCGATAGGCTATTAGAGGTGAGTGCATCATCTATAATTCGGCATTTTTCTTACTTCTCTGTGCGGGAACCGCTTTCTTAAAGCGTTATTATTATTATTATTATTATTTTGAATTCAAGCTTTGATCATTCGATCCGTTAGTTGTGACACCATATTTAAAATTATAATTGGAGATTCTATTCAGGGGACATGTAAGATAAATCCCCAATTGATAGAAGTTAACTACTTGAAGTTGGAAGACATTTAATCAAAAAAATACTATGGATTGGTATTTCTATTTAATTTTTTTCTAATTATGATTCATTCCTTCGTTTTTGAGCATTTTAGTCCATGAACCAGGATATATTGATACAATTTAATTTCATATTTATCTCTTAAATTTAGATGAAATCTATTATGTTATTGTTGTCTGGATCTTGCCTTTTCCTTTGGCTTCTTGGTTTTAGTGCTTATTTATTTGTCAATGATTTACTCTCAGAGGTTGAAAAATGCAGAGCTGGAGCGTGTAGATAAACTGGAAAAGTTTGAAAACAAAGCAAATTTACAGTTAGAGAGGCAACTTGTCATGGCTTCTTGTTGGAGTAGAATGCTGTTGACTTTACAAGGAAAACTGAAAGGAACAGAATGGGATCCTGAGAGCTCGCATAGGATTGATTTTAGCGAGTTTTTGAGGCTTCTTAGCTCAAGCAATGTTCATTTCATGGAATATTCTAATTTTGGCCAGACCGTATCAGGTTTTTGAATTACATTTTTGAATTTCTAGTTCTGTACTATTGAACTCTCTCTTATGCACTTAACAAATCTTATGCCTAATATCTTTTCTATCACCATAATTAACAAGAAACTTGTGCCATATTTTAAACCATCTTTTAGCCACATCATGCATGACATCCAATTTCACCCACAAAACTATGTTAATTTTTGCTATGTTTAATTTGAAAAAAAAAAAATTATTAGGATATCAAACACATTTTGTTGGAATCTTATGGCAAATGATTTACATTGCAACACAAATATCCACAATTAGAGTGCATATCATAATTAGTAACCAACAATAACAACAAGCTTTTATCCCACCAAGTGCGGTCAACTAGATGAATCATTTTACTCCATTATGCCCTATTGAGCGTCGTATTTTCATTTAGTTCTAAGTATTTTTTCTTTTGATTTTTTAAACACATATTTTATAACTTCTTAATAGTACTTTTTATTTTATCCTGCATAGTGTTAACTTCATCATGGACATCCTCACTCTTAAGATCTTGAATTTTACTCATAAAAATAAATTTATTTATATATTTTAAATGTCCCATCTAATTCTATGACAATGTTTTATTGTATTTTTATCTTTAAACCATTCATTTTAAAATTCAAAATCAATAATCGATGTGGGATTCTTAAACTTTTACTTATAATGACTTTACAATTTTTATAATCTTGACAATCTATTTTTCTCATAAGCAAATAATCAATTTTCTTAAACATCATATTAGCAATAATAGAATTATAAGCTAAAACAAAATTTAATACGACTCTACCTTCTTTATTTGTCACTCTAATACCATAGCCAATATGAATACTTCTAAAATCTTCTACCACTTTACAAATATGTTCATTTAAATCTCATCTAATAAAAATTCTTTCTTCAAGTGATATCATTTATATTAATTCTCTGTTATTCCAAAATTTTTCTTTTGAATATGTATCCAAGGTGCATAAGTACTTATATCACTAATAATTTTAGTATCTACAATAATCTTTGGAGTTATAATTTTGTCCACGTATATTATGATCTTTCAATCGTCTAGCTATAATTATACTTATACCATTTTTTATACAACTTCTACATGAATATCAAAGTTTAAAACTTAAGCCATCAATTTTCTTAGACTTTTCTCCAACCCATTCAGTTTCTTCAATTTGTAAAATATTTATCTTTTTATGAAATATAATATCTATTAATTCTATTAATTTGTCTGTGAGAATAACTATATTTCAAGCTCTCATCCTAATATTAAATTTCATAATTAGATACCAACAAATGCTCAAATCTAGTTTATGATGTTATTTTTTATTTCTATTTAAATGTTCGATATTTTAGCTTTTGCCTTCTAACTTTAGCCCTCGTAACTTCTTTATCTAACAAAAATGTGTTAGGATGCACTGATATTGTTTTTCACGTTTAATGCGAAGCATGCAAAACTTTTGGGGCATTTACATGCATACCCACAATTCTTATTTATTTACTTATCTAACTCCTAAACTTTCATATTTACATACATAACACTCTAATCCTTAATATCACATCAAGAATACCACTACTATTAACTTTAAAAAAAAATGCATCTTTTTATGCATCTGTTTATGCCACTGAAGTGTTATAATTGTAAATATCAAACTTTTGGTGTTAAATATGTAAATACAAAGGAATTGTGTGGTATGTATGTAAATTTCCAAAAACGTTTTAACTTTTTTGTTTGTAGTAATTGCACTAGGATGAACATAGCATGGGGAGCATGGCATTATGCTTATTCAACATGCGTCATTATTTGCATGGAGTGTTTACACATTGAAGTTTACTAGTAATGTCTACATTTGTCCTGCAGTTATTTTACCTTATTATAGAGATAGAGGAGGTGGGGAAGCACATGGGAACTCTGCGAAAGAAGTTGTATATCGCCGCCATATTGTTGACCGGATGCCCATTGATGCTTGGAATGATGTATGGGAGAAGTTGCATCAGCAACTTATAAACGTTGATGTTCATAATGTGGATTCTGTGCCTGCTGAAGTCTACTCTACTATAGCAACTGCTGTTGTGTGGACCATGCGTTTTATGCTTGCAGTTGGTGTATATCTCTGGATTGACCGAATCACGAGGCCAATTTACTCCAAATTAATTCCATGTGATTTGGGTACTCCAGAGAAACCAATTAGGCAACCCCTTAAGCGTCGTGCACTTGGATCATTGGGCAAAAGCCGGTTAGTTGCAGTTTTTTATGATGATTTTTTGGCCATTGTTTTTTTGTCTTTTGAATTTTTGAATTTATTCTTAATCATAGCACTTCTTTTTTTTTTTTTTAAACTTACACATTACTCGGGCACATGCATGGATACTCTGTAGAGCTTGATGCGGTGCTGTAAATTGTAGTTTACCTTGTGAAGTGTTTCTATGGAAGTGGACACCATGTATATATCTCGATTTCCTTTCTCCATAATGCTTTAATTTTAAATTTCTGCCAGTAAATTAATTTGCAATTTTGTTTGGATTCTGTAATTTTTTTCATGTCCTTTTTCTTTGATTGGACATGTGGGACATTTTGTCTGGCACTCTCACCGTTTGTTCCCAGTAGAAGTTATGTAAACATGCGCAATTTCTAAATTAATGTTCTTCCTAAATTTCAACTGTCCAAGGTTTTCTGAAATGAAACTTAATTAGTGATGTGATTTTAATTTTTTGTGTCTACTCCTTTTTGAGAACTTTTTCTTATGTTGGGTGTAGTGGATGTAATTGGAAAATTAAGTTTTAGCTTGCAATGATGAAATAAGTTTCAAGGCTTATCTTTCCACTATTTGTCAGGGCAAAATTTATATCAGCTGAAGAAACTACTGGTGTCACATTTGATGATTTTGCCGGCCAGGAGTACATCAAGAGGGAATTGCAGGAGATCGTGAGGATTCTGAAAAATGATGAAGAATTTCAAGATACGGGAATCTACTGTCCCAAAGGTGTTCTTCTTCATGGCCCACCTGGCACTGGAAAGACTTTGTTAGCTAAAGCCATTGCTGGTGAGGCAGGGCTTCCATTCTTTGCTGCAAATGGCACTGATTTTGTTGAGGTATATGCAACTTCATGCATTTCCCTTGTTTTCGTGGGATATTAGTGTAAAATTTTAAATACTGTTGGAATATAAAAAAAAATATAGACCATACTGTTAGAATACAAAATACTACTATATACTGTAAGGTTTTGTTTTGTTTAATTTATTAGTTTTGGTTTTAGTTAGATTCTTAGTAAAGTTTATGCAGTATTTTTTTTGTTTAAACTTATGCAGTTTGGGCATATAAAATGGAGATGAAATTAACATGCAAAGAATAGGGAGAAAAGGGGGAGACCGAAAGTTATGAGGGTAAAAATTGGAAAAAGGGTTTTTCTTAAACTTGAGTCAACTTGCTACATTTTGGAAAAATAAATAATGAAGTAGGTTCATAAAGCTAGCCTATTTCATTTAGCTTAATGCTAATCGTGATGATGGTTAATGCCTTGCTTTTGTTTTTGAGCAATCTTGTGCTTCAACTCATTCACATTATCATCTCTTTTGCTCTATGACCTCTTGGTTAGTTGTTCTCTTGAAATATTGTTCTCATGTTCTTAGGAAATGTGACATGTGTGTGTATTATTTTTTTGTTTAGGGTTAGTTTTTGCTGAGAGTTCCGTCTGAACAACTGCCAGCCCCCCTTTTTCTTTTCTAGGGTTTTATCCAAGGAAGAGTGGTACTTCAGTTGTATTTTGCTTTAAGGTAGTGATTATCCTCGACTCTCTCTTCCTCCATGACCTACCATTTCCTTCCACCGTCGTCGCACCTCATTGTGGACCACCTAAAACTGTAGCATAACAGTTTTCTTGCAGCCCCTCTACCCGTATCCATCAAGCGTCGCCCTTCCTCCTTGTTGTTGTCCAAGCTGTTTTCTGTAGTAACCGCTATTTTCTTCCTGCACCCTTTTGTTGTACCATAAACGGCTACATCTTCCCCTACCACTGCCGCAAATCTCTCCAAATTACACTGCCTCTGTCATAATCTCTCCACCTGCTATTGTTGCTACAGTAAACCCCCTCCCCCATAACTCATGTTGTCTTCACAACCCCAACTGCACCCCAACCCATTACCGTACTCCACTCCAACCATTCCACTGTTGTTTTCTCCCCCAATCAGCCCCTAGTTGCTGTCGCGAGCACCTGGTCAGCTATTTTTTTGTTTGGTTTCAAGTAGATTTAAAACAGTATTTTAAAATATATAAGATATTATTGGTAGGTGGCAGACAGTATCTGGCAGCGGCAACCAACAATTGACACCGACGACCGGTGACGAATGACATCCGACAATGGTAACCTACAGTTGATGCTAATGACAAGCGACGAATAGTGACAACTGGCAGAGGTGGGCAACGATGACAGGCACCGATGGCTAGTGGCAAAAGGCCGGCGGACGGTGATGACGGTCGATTGCAACGGGAGGTGGACGGGAACAGTGTCAGGCTGCGAAGGACGGCGGACAATGAGCGGTTGGAGGCGGGCAGCGGATGGGGGCAGGCGGGGCAAGGGGCGGGCCAGCTAGGGTGGCAAATGGTGGTTTGCTTATAATATTTATGTTAATGAAATCTCAGATTTGGCTAAATCGACTGAATTCTATATTCACCCAAAATGAAAGAGGTCTAAACTTCATATTCATTAATATTTTAGATTTTATTTGTAACTATTCATATCAAATATATTGTTCTCTTAAATCTCTGCAAAAGAATTACAATACACTTCAACTTCTCCTATCCAAACAACCCCTTAGTGGAGTCATATTTGGTTTTGAAGTGTTTGTGGTTGATCAGAAAGTTTTCAACAATAATAAAATTACACCATGGATCAACATTATGTTTGCCCTTTTAAATATTACTTTTGAATTTTGATGAATCTTATACAAGATAATTTGAAATGTGGTACTTTAGTACATGTTCTTTGTAGATGAAATAGCTTTGACCGTTTAGGTTTCTACCCAAGTGAAAATTGGAACAATGGATATATTTTTCCTCAAAGGCAAATTTTTACAATTACTTGATTAAAAATTTAATACATGATATTGAATTTAGTGTACTATAAATTTATGGCTATTTTAAGGTTTTTTAAAACATAAAATGTTCCCTAGAGTGATGAGTCTAAGTATTTTGAAAATAGACAAGTGCAGATATAAATGTTGATATAAATGAGGATATAGCTTTTTAGAATTAGAGATGGATAATTAAAATGAAGAATTGCATCAATACTACCATAGCATGAGAATATTGGAGTCTTACAGGTAGATTATTTAAATTTTCCATTAGATCAACTAGAAATTAAGAATTAAAGCATTGGATCGCAAAGAATTTGCTATGAATGAAGTTTAGATTGGAAAAATGAAAATCATTTTATTATTTATGGCAAGACTAGGAAGAATATAGTGAGTGATGATTATATTAGGGATGGTGAGAATTGTATGTATTGAAGATAAGATAGTTAAAAATTAAATTAAATTTTATGGATTGGGTTGGAGATGAATATAGTAGAATCAGCACTCAGAAGATGTATAATATAACTTAATGTCAAGAAATAACGGTTGAAAATATATATGACAAAGATATTATGGTCATAAGTAATGCAAAAATGACTTGCACCTAAAAAAAAGAAAAATAGGAATTTAGGTAGCGCTCATCTAAATGAATTGTTAAGGTGGATTCATAAAGCAGGTATTTGGGATATAGCAGATGACTATGTTGAAATTTAGGGTTTGAGACTTTATAATTATTTTGTAAATTTACAAATTTTTGTTGTTTCACTTTGATTGTTTTTAGTGACAATTCACCGTTTTTGTTGTTTGCTATTGCTAAAGTTTACCCTTTTTTTTGTTCCTACATGGAAAATATATAAACTTAGCTTGCACGCTAAAATTTCTAACTTGTGATTTTAATCAACAGATGTTTGTAGGTGTTGCAGCTTCCCGGGTCAAAGATCTTTTTGCTAATGCTAGGTTGTATGCTCCCTCTATCATTTTCATTGACGAGATTGATGCAATTGGCAGCAAACGAGGTGGACCTGATATTGGCGGGGTAAGCTTTACGTTGGCTTTATTGGAGTTTTTTTATTTCATGTGCTTGTGCACATTCTGTTAGGAGTCATTTGCATTTCCTATGAATATTACAGACCTAAAATATTATGATAGGGTTCAACTCAGATTTCCCACAGAAACTAGGGCAACATATAATTTATTTCACGAAAACCAAACAACGCAATCCAAATACATAAAGATAAGCACCTATAATTTGAGGGGTAGGCTATCTCTCCCAATCCCTACAATTCCAGAGATGGGAAATTTCTCTCAAACCCTATACCTTAGGCTTCAGCTACAATCTCATGCATAGTCCTAACCCTAAACTATTAAGCCCTATTATACCAAACAATAATAAATAATAAAAGACTAAATTTCTTAGCTAATAAAAAACAAAGTTGCCCTTAGGCTAGTCATCGACGTAGCAATACTCCCTTTCCAAAAGACAAATTGTGCTCAATGTGAGAAAAATTGTTGTTGGATCAAGTCGCGTGGCGCTTGCTCATAAACTAGCTTGAGTCTGGTTCTCGTCGTCAGTACTGGCAAACTCTTCTTGGCCTTCTTTAGCTTCTCAAAAGTTTGGTTCTTCATTTTCCCTCATTGAAAGTTATCCTTCAATTTTTTCCTCCACGGGCATACAATCAAATTATAACTCTTTACAAACTTCTAGCAATATCATGTAAATCTTATAAACCTTCTCAATCTCTTCCGAGTTTTAGGTGGTGGTCCCTTCAACCTATCTGCCGCCTTTGATGGATTTGCTGACACTAGCGTCTTGCACAAATTGGGGTCACCGTGAAGCACCACCATCTTATCTCTCTCCTGAAACCCTATGGACAAAAGTTTCAAATTCATCTTAGTATCCCCTATGGATTGGAACCATTTCATACTCAATATCATGTCAGTACTCCCCAAATCCATGGAAAGAAGATCTTTCATCACCTGAATGTCTGACAATGTTAAAATTACTTTTTTACGAACCCCTACTCTTCTCCACCAGTCCCATCCCCATCATTACTCCAAAACTTGTGTCCACCATCTCAAGCCCCAATTGCTTAACTATTTGAGTAGCGATGAAGTTTTGGATGGCCCCACTATCTAGCAATACAACTATATCCTGCTCTCTGATTTGCATCTGAAGTTTCATAGCGCAGTTCGGTGTAAATCCCACCACCAAATTCAACGAGACTTCTGTCACATCTAAGTGTGAGAGTTCCTCCACCTCCAAAGCCTTGTCTATTGCTGCATCCCCTTCCTCATTGTCACACATTGTGAGAATTTGTAATGTCCGATCCTTAGAATGGTGTATTGAAAAAAAACTTCTCATCATATTGAAAATATAATTCCTTAGCCTTCTTCTACTTAATCTTATTTGTGTAAGGCGTTTGAGTGTTTCCCCCAGTCAGTTCCATCTTGTAGAGCCTCCCTCTGAAGTTGGGGAGAAGGCCAACTAAATCGGCCTGGGGAGGGTTAGATCCAACCTCCTGCTAGATCGCCCAACCCTATTAGATCCTTTTTTTTCTTTCTTAGAGTCGAGATTTGCCACTCTTGCTCGGCCTTCTATTCTTGGCCTGATTCTCGCATATCATAGAGTTTTGTAGCATCTGCCCTTACCCAAGTCACTTCCACCAAAAATTTTCTTTCATTTTCTCAAACCTAAAACACAATTCAAGCTAGCTCTAATTTTTCTTTGTTGGTTTTCAAAACTTGCAACCATAAATCATTTTTTCGCTCTCTTTCACCTTCCAGTCCAAACCCAGTCATGCCAACAAGAAGATACATACTCAAGTCTACCCGAGAAGAGATACAACGAGAGATCCGACAACTTCAGCAAAGATTGGCAGACATGAGGATGACACCCAATGGGGATTTACCCTTGACGGTGACAAGGAAAGTTGAAAAGGAGAAAGACAAATTTCAACCCCTTTCATAGGCAGGATTTCAGTGATGAAGATAAAAGGTCGCATAATTTCGGAATCCAGTATTAGAGGAGGCCTAGAGAGGAGACATCAGTTGGAGATGTAGAGTCTACAGAATCAAGATAGATCTACCAGAATTACAGGTAGGTATGGATCTAGAATAATTTATTGATTGGTTAGAATTTGTTGAATGGATCTTAGAGTATAAAGATGTGATAAAGGATAAAAGGGTTAAATTAGCTTCTATCAAATTGAAGAAGAGTGATTCTTTGTGGTGGGAGAACTTGAAAAGAGAAATTAGTGATAAGGTTACTAAGTGGGAGAAAAAGAAAGTCATGCGGAAGAAATATCTTATATCTCGTTACCGCCAGAATATGTTTCTGAAACTCCATAATCTAGAACAACGAGACTTCTCGATGGAGTTCACAACTCGGTTCGATCACTTATAGATGAAATGCAAGCTAATAGAGTCGGAGCATGCGGTAGCCTAGTACCTTGGGGGCCCGAAGCCCGTAATTAGCAATATGGTACAAGTGCAACCATATTGGTCACTTGGGAATGTCCGGACTTTAGTTCTGAAGGTGGAAAAGCAGCAGAAACAGAGTAGACAACTACCACCAGTCAGACATTTATCCACAATTAACGACATCAGCTGGAGCACACCTTACTGAGTTGAGAAAGCTTGTTCGGATAAGGCTAGAGCTACCCCTCGTGAGAAGAAGCTTGAGAAGAGTAGCACATCTACAGTCTCCGCTAGAAAATGTTTCAAATGTCATGGATTTGGGCACAAGCCTCCAGCTCCCCGACGAGTCGAGTCGTGTCTTTTACCAAGTTGGGCGCCATAGAGGAGGTTAGCAATGAGGAAAAAGCTAAGGAACTAGGTAAAGTGTACCATTTATCACCAGATGAAGGAAAGGCTCTTTTGGTTCAACGAGTGTTATTGATTGAGAATATGAGGGATTTGCAGTGGCTTCACCACAACATATTCTACACCCGCTGCATGGTGAACAGAAAGGTGTGCATTCTCATTATCGATAAGGGGAGCAGTAAAAATGCGGCATCTACACAGTTTGTAGAAGAATTAAAACTCATTACTCAGAAGCACTCCCGACCATATTTTCTGACGTGGTTGAAGAAGGATAACAAAGTCAGCATTGACTGGAGGTGTCTAGTGGAGTTTTCGATCAGAAGTCAGCTATAGGGTCAGGTGTGGGGTGATGTGGTCTCTATCGATGTCTGCTACCTTTTTTCGAGGAGACCGTGGCAGTTTGACCAGAGGACTCAGCACGACAGATTCAAAAACATATATTCTTTCACCAAGGATGAAAATCATATCATTTTACTTCCTTCGGCGTAGCCCGAGATTATAGGAGCCCTTGTCAGCATAGCAGCATCAGTGGGACCAGTTCTGGTGATGACGGGAGATGATGGGATCGAGACACTAGCACCAGACACGGAACAAGCACGATAGAGTACTTTAGGATATCATGGTCGACATCTTACCTCCATGGCCACCACCCTGCGGAGAGAGTCAGTTCACCTCGACTTCAAATCAGGTTGAGTTGATTGTGGATTACTTTGGAAGTATTCAACAACATGGGCAAGACATGCAAACTCAATTCAGTTCAGTGGTGGGACCCAGGAGAGCAGATTGATATGGCAGTATGCTCACAATTGGAGAAAACTTCTTTGATGCTTTCTGATACAACGCAGTCGACAGTAGTATCCAAGTGTTGTTAGGATTAAAAATGATAAATCAGAAGAGCTATTGAATGAGGTCGAAGCTCTCTCAACCCTAGAGACTGATGCGGGGCTTGGGGAGAAGCTTGGCTGAATCGACATAGGGAGGGTTCAGTCCAGCCTCCTACTGGACCGGATGGCCTTCTCAGAATCGGTATTTTCCACTCACGCCTCGCCTTTCCTTATTCCTGCCTTCCTTTCCTTTCTTAGATTAGGGATTTGCCGCTCACGTCCCACCTCCTTTCCTGGCCTGACTATTCGGGTTCGGTCCAGCCTCCTATTGGATCGATTGAACCTCTCAGAATCGGGATTTGCCTCTTACGTCCCGCCTTTCCTTATTCCTAACTCCCTTTCATTTCTTAGAGTCGAGATTTGCCGCTCCCGCTCCACCTTCCTTTCCTGAACTGGTTCCTATCTACTGGGAGTTGGGATTTGCCGCCCAATGCTTCCATTTGCTTAAAGTTTATTTATAAGCATGTTTGTTGAGTTTATGGTAGGTTATTGTATCTTTTCTTTCAGATTTCTGTTAGGACAGCTGTCGACATCTATTTTTTAGTTTGAGGGTTGTATTCTAGGGATTGGGTGGTGCTCCGGCTACATCTCTCTCCCGAGGTGATGATTATCTTCCTCATAGTCTTTTCTATGTCCTCCCACATCGCATTCTACCGCCGCCTTGTTGTTGCAGTCACCCACAACAACCTTCGATTTGTTGTTTTCTGCAGTCCTCTGCCTACCAGCCACCTTCCCCTCCCTTCAAGTATTGTTGTTGCCCGCTTCTCCTTCTTGCTATTCCAAGCCTCCCACCGTGTCGTTGTCGCCTAGGACAACCAGGGGACTCCTTCCTGTTGTCCCGTTTCTATCCACCCCCACTTCTTACGGCTAGCACCTGGGACAACCTCCATTCTTGTCCCTACATTTCTGAATTTACCCCTCGCCGCCACCCCTGGCCAGCCATCCCAATCCATTTAGCCGACCTCCACCACCCTGGGATACACTTTAAAGGTGTTTGCTTGTGTTGTTTTATGCTATCATTTTTTTTTTATAGAAGAGTTGTCGTTGTAACTCTATTTGAATTTGATAATAATATTTCTATTTCTATTGTGGTTTGGGATAACTTCAATATCAGGTTCAGTGTATAACCTATTACCGAATTCAAAAAGACTTCTTCCACATCTAAGTGAGTATTCGTCCTCCACAATTTTCTTTATTTGTGCATCTCCCGCCCCATTGTCACACACTGTGAGAATCTATAATATCTTATCCTTACAATACTGTACTGAGAAAAACTTCTCATCGCACTGAAAACATAATCTCTTGGCTTGCTTTCCTTAATCTTTGTTTA